GGCGATGTTTCTGAACGTATGCTTTGTTTTATTGCCTGGGTATAGCATAGTTTTTCAGGAACACACACACACACACATATATATATATTTTTTTTTTTTTTTTGAGAGGTTTTTGCTATAGGGCAAGTGCACTTGCCAGGAAGACAGAGAGAGACAGAAAGCGAGAAATCACCCCCCAGGGGGGATGGCCACACCGCAATCCCTTCTCCATTCTCCTCTCAGGATCTTGGGCACACACACATGTACCCAGCGTGAGTTTAAGCCACCAGGCCCGGAACTCAAACCATGGTCAACTACATGGGAGTCCAGTGACATAGCCATTCAGCCAACAGCTGGTCCCAATACCTGAACTGATTTTCAAGATGCCGGGTCTGGGGCTCTAACTGTGCAGTCCACCATGTGGGATCCAGTACCCCAGCCTCTCTGACATCTGACCTCCAACTCACCCCTCTTTTTTAACTGTCGCACAGTTCATCACTTCAGAAGTCGTCTGCCCCAGTGTAGGTGCTCCCTGAATTAGAGCTCTGTTGGAGAACTGGGTTCGTGTGTTTATGTGCTTTGCTGGAAGCTGACTCATGGTGTGGGTCTATGGATTTGAGGCCCTAGGGGATGGCGGGGAGAGGCCAGACAACGCGATGGCTATGGGAGGTACTGAATAGCCCTGGGAGAGGGCCAGGAGCAGTGTAGAGGAGCCCCAACACAGGTACATAGGCGTCGTGGTGGTTACACCTCCTCTGCCTGGTCATTAGACAGGCACCCGGGGTCACCCTGGATTCTTCACTGCCATAAGCTCACCCCCAACCAAGTACAGGTCACATATTTTTTTGTTTTTTAAGAATTATTTTAACTTTTCATTTATTTATTTATTTATTAAAATTTGACAAGAGAGAGACAAGAGTGAGAGAGAGAGACAGAGAGGGAAAGTGAGAAAGCAAGGTCCCACGTCCAGGACCCAAACTGCAGTGGCCATGTGGGAGTCCAGGCCCTCAACCACCATGCCACCAGCCAGCCCCAAGGCCGCATATTTCTTTCTTTTTTTCTTTTTTGAGAGACTTTTGCTATAGGGCACGTTCACCAGAAAGACAGAGAGAGATTGAGAGATAGGAAGCGAGAAATCACCCCCTAGGGGGGATTGCCACGCTGCAATCCCTTCTTCTCCATTCCCCTCTTGAGATCTTGGGCACGCACGTGCCCGGCCTGAGTTTAAGTCACCAGGTCTGGGACTCGAACCTCGGTCGACTACATGGGAGTCCAGCGACATAGCCATTACGCTAACTGCTGGTCCCAAGGCTACATATGTCTAAAGTCTGCCACTTCTCTCTATGCTATCACAGCCATTATTTCCCCTAAATGACTGACAGCAATCTGGCTTGGGCATCTCCCATTGTTCTACTGATTGCAGTTTGAATGATGTTTGGTTCTTTTTTTAGAAAGAGATTTTTTTTTGAGAGGTTTTTGTTATAGGGCGGATGCGCTCACCAGAAAGAGAGAAACAGAGAGATAAAAAGTGAGAAATCACCCCCCCTGGGGGGGGGAATGGCCACACTATAATCCCTTCTCTATTCTCCTCTCTGGATCTTGGGCACACACGCACATGTGCCGGCGTGAGTTTAAACCACCGGGTCCAGGACTCGTACCATGGTCAACTACATGGGAGTCCAGCGACATACCCATAATGCTAACTGCTGGTCCAAGAAAGAGAGATTCTTACTACAGGGCTCCAGCACTGGCCAGAGAAACGGAGGGACAGAAAGCAAGAAATCACCCCCCAGGGGCGATGGCTGCACCATAATCCTATCTCCTCCAGTTTCCTCCAGGGGCTTTGGGCGCGCGCGCACGCGCACACACACACACACACACACACACACACACACACACGGGACCATGAGTTTTAAGTGGCCAGGTCTGGGACTTGAACATCGGTCGATTACATGGGAGTCCAGAGACATAGCCATTATGCCATCGGCTGGTCCCCCAACAGTTTGAATGATGTTTCTAAAAACACAAATCTGACCTCTCTCATTTAAAATCTGTGGGCTCCTTGCTGCCTTTGGAGCCAAGTCGCAGCTTTTGCGGGTCTTCTGCACATGGATGGCACTCCCCTTCTAAACTTATCTGTGTGCCACCCGACCAGTAGGCCCCCCAGGCGCAGGACCTGCTCGGGTCAGGATCCAGACTTGGCGACTCCTCTTGGGGAAAGCCTTTTCTGACCCAATTCTTCCTCTGGCCCTCTGAGCCTCACACTCATTATTGGCACTATTTGGTGGCCTGTCGCCCGCGTGGCTAGGGGGCGACTTAAGGAAGTACTGTAATTGCGAGGTGCCTGTGCGGGTCGCCGCTGCGGCAGGGCGAGAAGACGCCGAGGTCGCCCAGGGAGTTAGACAGGGAGCCAGGAGCCCGTCCTCTAAGCCAATGAGTGAGTGTGAAGGGTGTTCCGCTGCGTCAGCGAGGTCCGAACCGCCCTTGGGAGGAGGAGCCCAGGGTCCAGCGCGGCCCGGGCTGCAAGAGCGAAGCGCAGTCGGCCCTTGTTTCCCAGCAAGGAGCGCTGAGCAGTCAGCGCCCTCCGACCTGGCGGGGGTCGCAGGCTTGGGTCTCGGCCCGTAGCCGGTCTCAGGCGCTCTTCCTCTCTAGCCATCTGCAATCGGAGCGGAAGGGGCGGGGACGCCAGCGACACCAAGAAGTGCTTGGTCCAGGGTCCGCGGCCCCAGGAAAGTAGAGGCGCCTTCTCTCTGCGCAGACGCACCGCCCAGGCAGAGGGCGGGGCCTGAACGTGTCGGGGGCGGCAGCGCCAGACATTGGCCCCGCCTCCACTAAGTAGCTCCTAGGAGCCGCCGAGTGCGCGGTACCCCGGCTATTCTGGGGGCTTCAGGTGAGCCAGGGTACAGAGGGGTCAGGGTGACCGCCATCCAGGTCGGGCCGCCGGTCTGACAGCGGGTCCATCTGTCCTGCAGTCCACCAACAGCCGCCTCCGCGGAGAATGGGAGAACAAAGGGAGGGGGCGGTTCTGGGGCCCCTGAGGGAATTCAGGGTCCCAGGTACTCCGCCCCGCCCGCTGACACTTTCGGTTTCTCCCCGAGTCAGAAGCGCCGCCCAAGAGACCCTGGGCCGGCGCCGGGCACAGCTGCCTCTCCGCGTCTGCCTGTCCGTCTTTGTGTCTGTCTCTGTGTCTGTCTGGCTGTGTCCGAGCTTGCCTCCACCTCCAGAACTAGATCGCCCGGACACCGCCATCTCCGCCCCTTTCCCATGGCAGGTAAGTGGGTGCAAGGCTGGGGTCTCCGTTATCCCCCCATGGACGTGGACGCCGGGTGTCGGACACATCCTCCGGGAATGTGCTCGGACTGGCTGCGCGGGGCCCTCCCTTCCTCCCGGGGAGCCACCGCCCTGCTCCCCTGCCCCATCTTCCTCCACCTCTTTCCACCCTATTCGGCCGGCCGGCGAGCTGGAGCTGAGGTCGGATCCCTTTCTAATCTACCCCTCCTCCCGCACAGGCTACTTGCCCCCCAAAGGCTACGCCCCTTCGCCCCCGCCTCCCTACCCTGTGACCGCTGGGTACCAGGAGCCGGCCCTGCATGCTGGGCCCGGACAGGCGCCAGTGCCTGCCCACGTGCCTGCCCCTGCCCCCGGCTTTGCCCTCTACCCCTCGCCCGGCCCGGTGGCCCCTGGGCCTGCTGTCCCCATCTTGCCGCTGCCGGGGGTGCCTTCTGGCCTCGAATTCCTGGTGCAGGTGAGTGGGAGTGAGGGTGGGTGACGGGGAGGGAACCTGGGCATCTAGGCTGGCCTGCTGACGTGAGCCCTGCCCCTACTCTCTTAACAGATTGATCAGATCCTGATTCACCAGAAAACCGAGCGAGTGGAGAGTAAGTGGAAGGTGGACAAGTTGGGCCTCCCGGTGGAGGCAGGGACGATGGTGAGCTCCTGGGCGGGAGAGGCGCTCGAGTCTCAGCGGGTCCCCCCTCCTGGCAGCGTTTCTAGGCTGGGAGACGTGTAACCGGTATGAACTGCGCTCGGGGGCCGGGCAGCCCCTGGGTCAGGCGGCCGAGGAGAGCAACTGCTGCGCCCGTCTGTGCTGTGGCGCCCGCCGGCCCCC